ATGTCCATCTGCTGCCTTAAGACTAAACCTATTAATATATGCACATAGATCTATTTCCCTATTGTTATATATAAGTATATTTACATATATACGTGTCTGTATTTAGACCTCTATATTGGGATGAGAGGAAAGCAAAAGGAAATAGAGAACTAGGATTTAAAGTTTTTATTGTTGTGGAAACCGAGAGAATATAGCATTTGCCAATTCACCACATTCACCCGCACAGTTCAGCGACACCAATGACACTGATCACAATGTGCAGCTGCCACCAACAGCTGCTGCCAAATTCTCCAACACCACAGACAGAAATTCCCCACTTCCTGTCCCTGGTAGCCACTCAAGTCTGCTCTCGCTACACCTGCCTCCTGGAGCTGTGGCGGGAGGCTCTGCTCACACACCCCTGGCCCTTCTGTGAAGGCTTATTTCACCCAGCCGAACACCTCCAGGTTCATCTGCGTCACACGTGCCAGGACTTCTATTCTGTTTTGGACTTTTTGGATAGCTATCCTCTGACAGAGTATGGCTCCCCATGGCATTTCCGCCATCTGGAGGAGGCTAACAGACTGCAGGCACAGAACTGACAGTCACCCAATGAACAAGTCTGGTGCTAGGTGTTGGAGTCCAAAGGTGCTGCAAAGGGTCACTGCACCTAGTTGCTAGCTGGAAGGTGGTAGGTTTGAGTCCCCAGAGGCACCTTAGAGGACACACATGCCACAGAAACCCCACAGAGCACAGTTCAACCCTGAAGTGTGGAGTCTCTGCAGTCAAGAGTCTACCTGAAGGCAAATTGACTGGTTAATGCTAGGTGCCACTAGAAACACGTACAATGTGAAAAAATGCCATTCTGAACACACTTTGCTATGAAGTAAGTGCTTTTAAAGTTATCGTTTCTTTCATTACCAGGAAAATTGAACTTTTCTCAGATTTTTTGACCAGTATGAGCCCAAGTGATATAGTGAAGTGGGGCTGCTAACCACAAGGGGAGGAGGGGAGGAAGATGAGGCTTTTCATTCCAGAGAGGATTTACAGTCTTGGGACCCCACAGGGCAGTCTACTCTGTTGTAAAGGTTCACTTTGACTTGAAGGCAGTGAGTTTTTGAGAGTGTAGAAGCTCTAAATCATTGTGGACGGAGAAAATTCGTTCATTGTTAGAAGACTGGTAATTAGAGGCATTTCTAAGTTCCTATCAACCTGCCAGGCTGAGGATGGTGTCTCCTCTCTCCTCACTGTATTGCACACTGTGGGGAGGCGGGGCAGGGGGGGTGAGAAGTATGCCAACCCAGAGCCCGCCCCATTCTCAGGGAACCTCACTCCCATAATCCCTGCTCTCCATCCTCTGCCACCCACCCACCATCATCCTTTGCTTCCCAATTCAAAGCTTGATGCAGGTCAAAGTACAGTTGCACATATTAAAAACAAACATGTTTCATCTTGACTTTGCAAAAAGTACACAAAACTCTTTTAGTCATCACAACTCTCAGAGGGGGGGAGGGCTGCAATCTTTAAATAAAGGCTGGCAGTGATTTTGGATAACTGATCTGACGAATGGAGATGCAGCCTCCAGGTATGTGTTCTCAATGGGACTGATTCTGTCCCCAGGGGACAGCTGTCAGTGTCTGGAGACATTTTTGGTTGTCATGTCCAGGGCTGCTACTCCACACCATGCTGCCACAGGATGGATTTCCACCTCCCTGACCAACAATGATCTGGTCCTAATGCCCACAGTGCCAAGTTTGAGACACCCTGCTTCCAATGACAAGCAGCCCTGGTCCAAGTCCCAACAGAGTGGAGCCAGAGTGCTCGGAAATATTTGCTGAAGAAAACACAATTAAACAAACAAACAAACAGCCAGGCACTTTTCAAACACGTAGTTCACAAAGGATTCACACTTGAAAATCTACCGACAAGTTTGGTTTAAAAACCTGGCCATTCAAACATTAAGCGACAGAATGTTCATTAAGATTTCTTGCCCCCAATAGAAAAGAGACATTTATAGATGCCAGGGAAGACATTTTTCTGTTGGCACCATAGGAATAAAATCCTCCCATTTCCTGTAAGGAGGCTGGGTAGTACACCCACGCTCTGTCCAAGGCAGCACGGCACTGCCATGCAGCCCCACTGCAGCGCTAGCCTGCAGCGCGCAAAATGTCCAGAAATAGCTGTGCCACTATTTCTAGACTTTTCATCCTCTAGTTAATGAGGAAGAATGGGGTCCAGCAGGCAAGGGGAGGGACAGAGGGAGGGAGAAGGAGTGGAGCCAATTATCAGCAGAAGGGATTCTGTGAGAAGAAAACCTTTCAATTTGAAGCAATTATATTTGTACCTCAACTTCAGGATTAAATCCTCTGAAGGACATTCTTCCATAGAGAAGGTCTTCGCATAGCAAAAAACTCTGCTCTTCGATTATGAGGCTCCTAAGGGGAAAAATAAAACTTACATTGGTAGTATGTCTATGTACAAGGAAAGTCAAGACTCGAAGAATCCATCTCAGGGTTGTTCTTGAAGTCCAGTAAAAATATAGCCAGATGCCTCACCTAGGGTGAGGAGTAAGATGAGATTAAAGAAGACGCAGAGCTGCATGCTTCAGGTCTCTGAACACGTATGAGTTTGCATAAA